GTGTGTGTGTGTGTGTGTGTGTGTGTGTGTGTGTGTGTGTGTGTGTGTGTGTGTGTGTGTGTGTGTGTTAGAGATAGAGAACCCTCTCTACCATGGGTGACCTCATTGCCAACATTTAGCTTCTTCAAACACTCGTCCACCTGGCCCCCTCATACAGCCGACACGTTTGTTTACCTGAACGAGGCCAAATCTCTGACGGACAGAGACGGAGCGAGGCGAGGAAGTCYACATGAAATACTGCTCACATTTGAAGTTGTTTGGAGCTGTGACTCATTACTCTGCTTCCACGTCTGGGTTTCCTCGTATTTTTCTACTTTCTGTTGTGAGAACATGAAGCTAAAATAAAACTTTGTGAAATGTCTCTTTACACGGTGAAAACATTATGTAGGACTGTTGCATAATGCCAGTAGTTTGGTAAACTGAGAATGAGCAGCTGCCTCAGACTTTCTGTTTTATTTTTCTTCTTTTTTTATTTTCAACCAAATCTCTGACCAATCAGAGACGAGCAGGAGGAAACCTTAAAGAGATTTTACAGGATAGTATTTGGGTCTGTTACCTCACAAATGTCCTGTAACAGTTGGGATTTTCTTTGCAAAATGTAGACTTTTAAAACTTTTCTGTCTTGTTTTAGGGTCATTATTTTTGAAGTTAGCAAACAGTGCTAATCAACYTCACTTTCAGCTGTTCAGACCTCTTGACTTAACAGGCATTGTGCAAAAGTTTCAAGCCGTCCATACTTTCTGAATGTGATGCTTTCAGGTGCTCAGACGTTTTGCTGTTGTTTCCAGTCCACCAAACTGTTTTCAGAAGAAATTAACAAAAAACTACTTTACAGTAGAAAAGTTCACTTTGCTTTATCACTATCAACCAGTTACAGAAACACAGTATGTTCTCATGTTTTTGTTGAATTTCTTGAAAATACTAAAAATAACACAGTCCCATATACAGACAAGTATCTAGTAGCTCCAACATGATTATTCCTAATAAATTCTTAGCTGAAAACTAAATGATCAAGTGACGGATGATGCATCCCTTTGCATCTTTTTTAGGCCTTTGAAGGCAAAATTGTGAAATCTGCTGTTTATTAGCACCTCGCCAGTTTCTCACAAGGATAAGATTGAATATCAAGGTAAAGTAGCCAAAGTCCAAAATAAATATATTGAGACCTTTAGACAAGCTGAAGTTCATCAGAATCAACTTCAAAAGTTGTATTAAACTTTTGGGGCTTGGGAGCAAAGTATGATGAAATCACAGGTGGTTTAGGAGCTTTTCTGTGCTTATCAAGATATTAGAGGAGCAGCTGTGGTCTGTGTGAAGTGTTTACAGTCGTTGTTTGTTTATACTCGTGCAATCAGTGTTTGTTTGTTTTCTATTTATCACCCATCTGCTCAGAGTGACCTCCCAAAGAAACTACGAGTTAATTCATTCTTCAGGTTCTTTATGAAACAGTGACATCTAGTGGCTGTTTGGGTTATTACTGACATGTTTCTTCTGGCTGTCCTCCTCAGGGTTTGCCCGGCCGCGATGGTGTTGATGTGAGTGAACTTCACACTTTGTAGCAGAAGACAAAAAAGAGGCATTCTTCTTAAATTTAATAAATATTATCATGTGTATGTTTTTGCCTCAGGGACCACAGGGACTGCCTGGAAAGCCGGTAAGATTACTAACAGATTATATCCTCATTTTTATTCATCACGTGTTTGTCTGTTAGCAAAATATTTCATGAACCACTTGACAGATTATAATGAAATATGCAGAAAGGGATTACCGCATGCACGTCTTCAAGTGATTACCTTTCTGAAGTCAGATTGATTCAAAATGGCTGCCACAACCAACTGAACTTTAAAAAAAAAAACACACAAAAATAGATACTGCTCACTCAGTTTTGGAGATATTGAGTAAAAATTTGTTGTGGTGGTAGCTGAGACTGATCCTCAATACATATTCCAAGTGCCGATAAATACCACAAAAAGTTTACTTAAAATTTTCACATGAACTATTTAGCCAACTTTGCCCGRCTGTTAGCAAAGTATCTCATAAACTACTGGGGAGATTTTAATGAAACCTTCAGTAAAGAATTACTGAATGTGGATCTGAAAGTGAATAACCTTTGAAGCCAACTCACTTCAAGYTGGACAGCACAACTAGCTGACTTTAAAAAGCACAAAAATGGTTCATATTCAGTCAGTTTGGCAGATGTAGGGTTAACTCTTCATTTACTTGTAGCTCAGACTCACAAAACATACTCCAAGTGCTACTTACTTGGAAAATCATTATTGTAAACTAGCATTCATTYTTAGCGTTATTCCCATTTGTTTGCAGCAAAACATCACAGGAGCCACTGAATGGATTTTTATGAAACTCTCAGACAATCACCACTTTCTGAAACATATATCGCCGATTCCCCTTTGGATTCAGTCCATATTAAGCCAACCACCACAGCCAGTAAACATTAGTCAACATTAAAATGACTGTAACTCAGTCAGTTTATATGATGCGGTGGCTGAGAGTCATTAATAACTCGTGCTCTAAGCGCTATTGCATCTTGTGATATTGTGATATATTGAGGCTGCAGGTGCCTTTTTTCTTTCCCCCAGTTTTTTGTTCTAATTTTGAGACTTTGTTGCACTTTGCCCTGGTCACACTTGTTGAACTGATCGGCAGGGAGAAGATGGCGAGCCCGGCTATCCAGGAGTGCAGGGTCCTCCAGGTTCAAAGGTATCACTGAGCTTTAATTAAACTTGTCCACATCCGCCCACTGACAGTGACTGTATAACATTATTTGCACCAGGGGGAGCCAGGGGTAGGTCAGAAAGGAGAACGGGGCATGGATGGACTCCCAGGTTTAAAGGTAAGTGAATATATAGCAATTCTTCGAGATAATGTTTTTTTATATATAAAATACAAGCTTGTTAAAACCTCCTTACAGGGTGATAAAGGAGAAATGGGAGTGCAAGGACCTGAGGGACCTATGGTATGTTTATTGTTTACAACTACCTTTTTTTTGATGCCGGTTTTGTAGATGTTCTAATTGAATATCCTCTTTAGGGTCATCCCGGTGAAAAGGGGGCCGCGGGCTCCTCAGACGTCATCGATTTCAACGGCAAGCTCCTCGATGCTTTCCAGGTGAGCCTTATCACTCATTCCATCAGAACCTCGGTGCCAAATTTCACAGTGAAAGCCTTCAGATACGGCTGCGGTGAGAAGAACGTCCATTATTCGATCCAGAAGRGTATAACCCAGAACGTGTCATTCGTTTCCTCTCGACAGGCCATCAGCATCATCAGCGTTTCGGTAACGTGCTGCTCGACTGCTGCACAGGGTTTTTTGTTTGTTTGTTTTTCTTTTTGGTGGCGTGGCCACCTAACTAACAGCATTGCTCGTGTGCACTGTGTGTTCCCACCGCACATCCCACCTGCTTCAGTGTGACGGGTTTGTGTGGACTGGATGCTCAGCTGTACTGGATGTCACCTCACATCTACAGAGCCTGACTCTGTCTGCCCATATATTCATGAACACATGACTGCAGTAAATGTGTTGCAGCTGTGCTGTTTGATCAGATAACATGAAGCTTGAAAAGATTAGACATACCTAACCATAAAGAGAAATCTGCGTTGATTTGAGTGTTTTGATGCCAGTGATCCTGACGGTGTTGTTTGGACTATTTCACATAACTCTGCTATTGTTCAGTAGCAGTGTCTACAAAAACAAAAACCTGAAAAATAAAATCCTCATTCATATTAATTATTCAAGTCTAACTGCAACAAAAATCCAACCAATTCCACCCTGTCGTTATTCATGATAAAAACAAGACAAATGAAAACGCTGTGTGTAAAATACTGATTCTATCACARGATTCAACAGCAACAACTTGAAGTAGATGTTTACTGTACAACTTTATAAGTCTCTCACATGGTTTTGAAGGAACTTTAAGTCACTCTTCTTTCCAGCATTGCTTCAGCTCATGTTGGTTTGCAGCTGTTTGTTCCTGCACGGCTCTCTGATTCTCCCATCGCAGCAGTCTGAATGGATTAAAGTTTCTTTTTCAGACATTCTYTTGTAGATCTCCTGCCGGCCTGGGAACGCCTCGGGTCGAGCTGGAAAGTTGGGAGAAGAATGTCTGGGTTTCTCTTTTGGATTCTTTGCCTCCACAACCCGACTACAGATAAGCTGTAGAAGATGGAGATTTTGTGGACCTGCCGCTGTGTTTTGGATCATTGTTCGACTTCTGCACCAGATTTCAGCCAAGCTGTAGTTGTCGGACTTGATGGCCTCACATTTGATTTCAGAACATTCTGGTTTTCAGAGGAGTTGATGGTCAGCGCAAGGTGCTCAGGTGCTGTAGCTGCAAAACAAGCATCATCAACCATCCACCACTGTGCCTAACAGTTGGTATGAGATGTTTGCGTTGTTGTGCTGTTATTGTTCGGGGTTTTTTTTGTTTTTTGTTTTTTTGTTTTCAAACACGGTGCAATGCAAGTGAGACCTGTATCTAAGATGTAGCTCTAGCGAGTTTTGGTGACTTTGCTGGGACGTACACTCCTGCAATGACCCCGAGCTACTTAAACTCATCCACTTGGGGCAGGACCTCTTCCCCGATCCAGAGGAGGCACCCTACCCTTTTCCGTCTCAAGACCATGGTCTCGGATTCGGAGGCACTGATCCTCATTCTGGCCACTTTGCACTCGGCTATGAACTGCTCCAGCGAAAGCATCAGCAAGCTTTTAAAAACCTCCTTACAGGATGATAAAGGGTGATACAGGGGGATCTCCAGATCATGATCGGATGAAGCCAATAGGACTGCATCATTCGCAAAAAGCAGATGTGATCTTAAGAGCCCTAAAATAGATACACTCAACACCTTGGCTGCACCCATATGCAGTTATGAACAGAATTGGTGACCCTGGTGGAGTCCAACTCTCCCTGGAAATGAGCCTGACTTACTGACGGCAATGAGGACCAGGCTCTGACACCAGTCGCATGGGGACCTAACAGTTTGTATCAACGGGCCTGGTACCCCATACTCCTGAAGTATCTCCGACAGGAGTCCCTGAGGGACATGGTCGAACGCCTTCTCCAAGTCCACAAAACATATGTAGACTGGTTGAGTGAACTCCTATGCACCCTCCAGGACCCTGCTGAGGGTGTAGAGCTGGTCCAGTGTTCCACGACCAGGATAAAAACCACACTGCTCTTCCTGAATCTGAGATTTGACTATAAACCAGACCCTCCTCTCCAGGACCCCTGAATAGACCTTAACAGGGACGCTTAGGAGTGTGATCCCCCTGTAACTGGAACACACTCTGTGTTCCCCATTTTTAAATAGGGGGACCACCAGCTCGGTCTGCCAATCTAGGGGAACTGCCCCCAATATCCACGCAACATTGCYTAGTTATTGGTGGAATCTGTTGTAAGTTTTTCTGTACTTGGTATTTATGCCCTGGTACATAAAACCCTAAAACTACAAAAGGGTGGAGTTTCTTTAGCTCATGTCTGTAGTCTTGATTTTAATCTTTAGGAGTATTGGAGTACATGCCACTCTAAAAAAGATCACTATCTTTGCAGTGGTGTGTGTGCGTTTGATTACAACCCAGTCTGAGCCTGGTCCACTCTGTCGTGACCTGAATCCCAGCATACAGAGTCACGACACAACAGCCGGAGATCGTTACGAAGCAGGCGGCAAAAACATGAACCTGAGATCTTATCAGAAGCTTCTTCAGAGTCACACAGAGGGTCTCAGCACGGATTCCCTCACTGCGCGGCCCACCCAGTCTCAACCCATGTGCTCGTGTGTGTGAGGGGCAGCTCTTAACATGTTTCATGCATTCTGAAGCATCTTGATGAATTCAGTGTAAAACAAAGCCGACACTGTTTGTTTGCTGCTGTCGATCATTTTGCTGCTTTGTGTCTGTTTGTTTGCATTGAGCAGCCCTCACTTTCCCAGCCATGAAACATCCTGGATCAAATAGCCACTTCTGAATGTCTTTGATTTCTGATGTTTTCTTGTGTGTGTCATGGAGAACAAAGAAAAAAGTCCAAGAACCATACACCTCTGGGAGGCACCGTGGTTTCCCCCCTTTCTTTTATGACTTCAAGATGGCCTTCAGAGGGAGGAGGAACAAGTGTAACATTGTAGATGCAGAAATTAGGGAGCTTGATTTAGGAGGCCTGTCACCCCGTCTCAGTGAAAATATGGCCCGCATGTGCGTGCTGCTCCCTGTCCGTTGCTACTCGCATGAATGTTTGGGTTCTCCCCCTTTTGTCTCATCCAACAGCTAAACAGTCGTCAGATTGAAAAATTAAGCCAAAACCGCCTCATTCGGCGCCGTTTTCACAATCTCTGCGAGAAGAACTACTTCAAGTTTCTGTTGTGATCAGTTCAGCTTTGTTTGTTGAGTTTCTCCTCGCGATAAACACTGAAAATAAACAGCGGCAAACACGTGGCCGTCTAAAACAAATGACCCGTCCAGCTGAAGCCGATAAATTGTTGATTAAAGGGAGGTCAAAGTGGAGCAGATCTGGGTTTATGTCAAAATAACTTTGAAAGAAGTTAAATTGGAGCCAAATTCAACTTTTTCTGTTTGATTCCAGGGACCACCTGGACCACCAGGCCCTCCTGGCTTTCCAGGAGAAAAGGTAGCAGTCGATCTTGCATGAAATTGTTCTGTTTGATGAAGATAATTTAAAAAAAAAAGATGCTAAACATTTTCTTGTCTCAATAAAGTCCCTTTACTCCTCTTTGTCCTGTTTTTAGGGTGAGCTCGGGTTACCTGGACCAGCAGGTGTGGACGGAGAAAAGGTACAGAGCTGAAACCACACACTGTGTGATTGARTGGATTCTTTATACAACTTTTTTTGAGTCACAAATGTACTTTTTGCTTCTTGGTTCCATTTGTTTTGATCCCAATGTGGGACTTTGTCTTCATTCTTAACCTTCAGGGACCCAAAGGTGATGCCGGTGAACCAGGGCATCCTGGTGAAAGAGGAGAGAAGGGAGAGATGGGTCTGTCTGGGCCTGCTGTAAGTACTGACCCCACTCTTGTTGCCCTGAGGTTTCATTCAAGTAGGAAGTAACTCTTCATGGTTTCGGCTCAGGGTGTGGACGGACAGAAAGGGGAAAAAGGTGACTGCAGGCTGGACGACAACCTGGTGAGAAACAAAAACACACTGAAGCTTCATGAAATACATTGGTGTGCCGTTTTTCATTACMTTAGATTTTTGAGTCACTTTTAAAAGCAACAAATCCTATTTAAAGTTAACAACTTGAAAAAAAAGTATCTAAATTACATTCAGTTTCTATCAGAGAAGCCAGTTGTGTCACTGTCTATTGGAATCGAAACCACCATTAATGCCCCAATACCCATWCTGAAATACTGGTACCCCATTGAGTGTGTTACAGTTTACATTTTAAGTGAACAGTTTGTGAGGTTCGTGTTTAAGAAATGTATAAAAGATTAAATAAAATCTTATTTATTTTTATTTATATTAAAATGTTGCAGCAGTACATATCATGCTGTATATTTGATTTGATCCAGTCAGAGGGGGAAGGTAAGACACCTTGTACTAAGTAAAAGAAAGTCACTGTGTAATGTTTAAACTCTAACTCAATAAYTACTTGAAATCTGTACTTGTCTCTGTGAGTACACAAACTGATGTACTTCTATTTGGTTTGAAAAAAAATCTGGCATTGGGACACCCCTACAAGAAACACAAGAATGCCATTAAATAAACAGAAAAGGTTGAACAAAAAGAAAAACATAACCCAAAGAAACATTTGATAAAAGTGACAGGATCGGTGGAGGAACTGACCCAGGGCGCAGGCATCATTCAAAAGTGCAAAAAAGGTTTATTAAAAAGAGCAAAAAGAGGGCTGAAGGCAGCAAAACGTACAGGTTACTCAGGAGAATCATGGAGAGATATCACAGCACAGAGCAGAACCTACAAGGAGACAGAGACAGGACTTGAATACACTGAAAACTAATGAGTGAACAGAAAACACCTGGGGAGAAACACAAGGGGTAATCATCAGAGTAATGTGGGGCGGCTGAGTTGAGACACACAGGGGAACATAGAAACACTAGGAAAACCAAGGCATAAAATGACAAACCATGACAAAAAGCCACCTATTTTCAAGAGACTTTTGCCAAAGCGTGTTAAAACAGAAAACACACYACGTAAGATTAAAAAAAAGATATTAGGGGTTAGAAACGGAGCATGTCAAAATAGAAATGCAGCATTTATTTTATTTTATGTGAAAGGAAAGTGATCATGAAAAGTCTGTGTGTGTTAGTTTGTTTGCTTATGGCTTCATTTCTGTTCTTTTTGCAATCATTATCAGATTCAGATGATTTCTCAGCCGGGGCCTCCGGGCCCACCTGGGCCTCCTGGCGTACCCGGTTCTCCAGGATCCACGGTGAGTATTTGAGTCAGGTTTGTCGTCTTCTACCTGCTGCTGTCACAAACTGACTGTACCTGCTGTGTTTCAGGGTCTGCATGGGATGCCTGGTCCTAAGGTAAGCTGATCGGTCTGCTCTATGAAGAAGGCTAATTATTATTACTTTTTTATTATTTTTATTAAGCACCAGTTGTGTTGTATTGTCACCTCTCAGGGTGAACCAGGTGTTGGGATGAAGGGAGACAAAGGGGATGCTGGTTCTCCTGGACTCACAGTAAGCAACATCTGGGCTGTGGTTAGGGTTATATTTATATATTGTGTAATTTTTGATCCAGCACCAATGGTTTAATTTACCTGCAGGGACTAGACGGCCACCAGGGTCCACCTGGGCCTGCTGGGTTGGTGGGACTTCCAGGTGCAAAGGGAGAAAAAGTAAGACTTATTTTTTACCAGATGTTTTTATCTTTTAAAATGCAAGCAGTAATTTTAAATGTGTTTACAGGGAAGACCAGGAGAGCCCGGACTCGACGTGAGTTTCTCGTTGAGAATTTACTTCATGATGTTTTCATTTTAGCTGAAGTTTAACCCGTTCACCGCAATGATCCGCTCTGTGATCTGTTTGTGCTTCAGGGTTTCCCGGGTCTGCAGGGAGACAAAGGAGACCGAGGGGAAAGAGGAGAAAAGGTTGGCTCATAAACAGGAAATGTTTAAAGATTCTGGCCTCAGGTCTCGTCAGAGCAAGCATCAGTTTGCTCCTGACTCTTTCTGCTGTCAGGTTTGATGTGTGTCGAGTTTCTAACTCGGTGTCTTTGTGTCCCAGGGTGACAGGGGGTCGGTAGGGAAGAAAGGTCTGAAGGGACAAAAAGGAGAACAAGGTCCTCCCGGACTGGACCAGCCGTGTCCTGTGGTACATCACTCCCATCCACACACACACACACACTGAACTGCTTCTCTTCCAGCCTCGTTACTGTATCTTTATGTTCGTCGTTTCACTCTCAGCATCATGGCTGTGTCTCAACGCAGGGTTTGCAGCTCATGTATACCAAAGCCCTCTGAGGCCATACCCTTCAAAGTCCAGGTCAGCTGTAATATAACGGCTGTCTAGTTTTTGGATGACGTATGTTCGCATGACCACGCACTACCCTGTTACCATAGTGTTATGTTCTATATCACATCACCCATTAAAACTTAATGTGTGGGAACGTGCATCTTTTCGTGGGAGGCATAARATCCCAAAATTCTATATTTCCAAAAATTTTTGGTCCATGATGACATTCAGGTTGCGTTCACACCTGTTTAGCCGGCTTTAATCGAACTCTAGTACGTTTGCCTGGAAAGTTCGGTTCATTTGGGGAGGTGTGAACGCGTAAACGAACTCTGAATCAGACCAAAAAAAGCAAACTCTGCTCCGCCTGCAAACTTAAGTCTCGGTTCGTTGAAGCGAACTCTGGTGCTGTTCGATTGCATGTGTGAACGCCAAGTGGACCACAGACCGTCCCAAAAGCAGGAAGCGGACTGTAACACAGGGCTCTCTGAGTAGCTCCATGTCTGTATAAGGTGAATATCACTGCTGTGAAGTTGGACGTGCTCCTTCTTGGTGAACGCTGCCTCACATGGAGCCGCCTCAACCACTTTGTGTAAAAAAAACAACGTTCTCCTCGGTCCCGCCTCATCCTCCACTTATGCTGAGTTCATTGTTGAAGATTGTTTGTTTGGCACATTTGCCAAAAACAAAAAAAATAAATAAATCCTACAACCACTAAAACCTGACGTCACTCCATGTTTGCTTACATTTTGTGAAGAAGGAAGTTGTGCTCAGTGTCTTCTTTGGAGGTTTTTGTATAGATTCCTTCAGTGGGTGGTTCTTGGTGCAGTGCCCCCACAGGCGAGGGAGGGAACAGGTTTACAGGGTTTAGTTCATTTGACAAACCACACCAACTGAAAATGTAAACAAARCTTGCAATTTTGGTCCCAAATCAAACCAAGTCTACCGGAATATCAGGTGTGAATACGAGCCAAGACTTCAACTTTTTTTTTTCCTGTAAAGTCTGGTGATGATGGAGTGAATCTCYTGGGTCAAAAAGGATAGTCAGATGCATCTTTTGTTTTTTGGAGMTTTGAGGGCCGCATGAGAAGGAGCCCAGAAAATGTGACAGTCTTCAGCGCAGTGCAGTGATGTAACCTGCAAATACACGCTACGGAGGACGCAGCCCCCAAATTGAGACACAGCCAAAGTCTTTTCTTTCCTTTGAGTTTTCTCCTCTGTGTTGTAAATGTTTACTTCCTGACAGGGCTGTGATGAGACTAAAGGTCTCTCTGTGAAGACAGCGCCTTCTTCGCCTGAAACTCCTCCTCTTCCTCCTTCAGGCCCCGAGGCCCCCTGTCCTGTGGTACAGTATCTTTTCTATCCTTTCTCGCTTGCTTTTCATCCCTTTGCTGTGCACCTGTTCAAACATTTTACCTCCTTTCATGTTGTCTCTTCTTCTGTCAACTCTACAACACTTGGTAACGGTAACAAGAAGATGTGGAACATTTAATGTCTTCGCGTTCAGTGATTTGGCTGTTTCGAATCAAGAATTATTGTGAATGATGCATTATTTTGACTGACAAAAAAAAGAAAAAAACAATTGCAAATACAGAGTAAAAGCAGACGGATTTATTCAGCAGTTCTTTCAGCACGGTCTGAGCTCATACATTCACAGGACTCCTTGACCAGTTAAGAAAACACCAACAAGCTAAAGAAACTGTTACGCAACAGCATAGACGTTGAATATCAGCTAGCATTCTTTTGCATCAACATGTCAGGTTTTTTTTTTAGAAATAATTGTTTTTAACGCCTGAAAAACAGTGTATAAAATAAACCCTCATTTGSCTAGCTGTGTATTTAATGGCTGAATTACAGCCCTTTGTAAAATTAGCATTAGTGGTTAGCTTAAATTGGGACTAGCAATCATTCTTGTCTACACCACAACTAATTTCAGCTCAATTAGTCTTAAATCGGTCGAATTATAGCCGTTTAAATGTAGCTGTGGTGGCCATTTTAAATGCTCAAATCCATGGTCGTACGTGCCSTCCTAGATAATAACACCTTGGCCACCCCAATGCCACCCGTTGCAAAAAAAATCTAGCTCCGCGCTCGTCTGCATCTGAGAAAGAAAAACTAAAACGAATGGCTCTCAACTTTCTGCAACTTCAATCCCATTGTTCATTTTAGAGAAAGATTTGAATTGATTGTGAACATCACAATTTCAGATATAATGTTTTGATGAGCACCAAAGGCTATTTATAGTATTGACCCTACGTTTTCTTGTTTTTGAAGCAAGACGATTGCAGAGCCATACATTAAACATGCATCAATAGTCCTTTTATTTTTTTTCTATCTGCAGGGACACGATGGCCTACCAATACCAGGCTGTTGGCACAAGGTGAGTGTTTTCATTTGATCAACTAATGCCACYATAAGCTATTGTTGTAGATAGGGTGCAGCTTTAAAGAATAAGTAACTCATAATATTGTACTAAAATGACATTTATTGGCTCTGATTTAACACAGGGGCATTTTGTAAGTAAATCACAGTGTGTGAGCGAGTTTCTAATGACATAGCATGCTTTTAAAAAAAATCATAATACCTAAACACTAACCAGTCCTCACTCTTCTTTCTTTGCAGTGATGACTAACCAGCAGCATGGAGTCTGTACATAATAATTTGGTATATTTTGCAGCTGAATACCACACCAACAACCCGTTTTTATACCCCCACCTTTTTTTAATAAAGCTCTATTATATAATATATTGAAAATTTACGAACATTTTGGGMTTTTTTTAACTCACAATCCAGCGTTGTGAACGCAGCCGTAAAGCTGGCAGTGTGGACTTTTAGTTTCAAGGACAGCGGTGCTGGAGTGAGAGGAGTGCCTCACTAACAGAACTTTTTGATGTGACCACGAATGGTGTGCCGGAATGTGTGAGCGCGCTCAGGCGGTCTCTCCAATGGATGGATGTTTGAGCGGATGGACTTGTTTTTTGTATATTATTGATGAGATGAAAGAGTGTGTTGTCAGTGCTCTCTTGTCCTCTCTGTGTTTTCTTTGGGAAAATAAAAAGGAGGAAATGGCGAGGCAGAAGCTGAAGCGCAAGCGTCTCTCTCAGCCCTGAGAGATGGAAGCAAACCTGGATGAAAAGGACAGGAAGGAAAAAGGCTGAGTGGCTTTCCCCACCTCTGAAGCAGAACTTGCTGGAGCACTTGGATCTTCCATTGAGGGACTTCTCCAAGATTCGGAGTTGGGGTGTGACCGAACTCTCCACTTCCACATTTCACCTCAGATGTGGGGGGAAAAGACAACCCTGTTGCTGATGTTGTCGTGTGATCGATTGAAGTTATTTGGGAGTCACTGGCACATAAAGGAGGGCTTTGACTGTGCAGATACGTTGGATGTGTTACCGTGATATTCTGTACGAGTTTGATGTAAAATATTAGTGCATGATCCGTGTTGTTTGGCCCAAGATAAAAACGACAGAACAAACCTGTTGTTTCGCAGTGAATTCGAGTGTCGTTTCTTCAACTTGTGCGCTGTTTTCAGTTGAAATCTTCTCTGTTTCCCTCCAGTTTCCAGTTTGCATTCCTGTGTTTTGCCTTGAATTAACAGGTAATGAAAGTTAAAGGCCAGCAAGAAGGAACCATAAGCAGTATTATTAATTATTGATCAGCTGTTGTTTGTGTTTTAACTGCAAAGGAAGGTGTGTTTGACCACTGCTTCCAGGTTTGTTTCTTTTATTTGGACAACAGTAGAAGTGTTTTTTGCTGCTGACTTGTATGTGTTTATTTTAACATGACTTTTAAATCAAACACATCTGTTGTGTTTTCTTTTTTTAAGGACTTTATTGGCTTTCATTAAGCAACGCACCTGTAACTTCATGCATTTTATGAGTTTCGTGCGTTTTTTGTGTGTACTTTCCGTATCACATCTCTCTCAGATGGCATTATTTCTTGGTGCTTAAGCTCTTTTATTTTGAAGTGTTTTAAGGAAAACACTATTTGAAAACTCACAGTTGATAAAGACATTGTTCTGGCTGGTACTGAATGTCAAATATTAAATATTCTTAAGTAGCAGGATTCARATAAACAGAATGGAGACAAATACATTAATGGGGAAATGAAGTTGAATAATTTTAATGTAGGCTTCATTGATAGCAGCAGCACTTTTTAAAAACATTTTACCTAATTGATCTACACTAATCTGTATTC